GCCGCCGCGAGGCTGCACAGTGGTAATGGGGTGGGGACGCAGCCACGCCGCGCTGCTGCTAAGAATTTGCCGACAACAGCGTACTAGCCACCCACAGAACATGGAAGCGACGCGCTCTCCCTCCTTCCCTCCCTCCCTCCGTCCCTCCCTCTCTCTCTCTCTGTCTCTGTCTCTCTCGCCCTCGCTCTCACTCTCGCTCTCGCTCTCGCTCGCCGAAGGCAAATGGCTTGACACGAACACAGTCACGTCACTTTACAATTTACATGAGACGAAATCTTAATCACGCTCAGTAAGACTTATTAGATAAACGAAATTGTATTACTTAGATTTCTCAGTGGTTTTAATTCATAATTTTAGGTGCTATAAAAATAGTTTGTAGTACAAGCACTTATAACTTGTTAGAATATAATGCAAATGAAATATTAAAATAATTTTCCTATTTATTAATATATTCTGTGACGAGAAAATATTGTTTTAGATAGTCTGCTGTATATTGTGCTAAGAACATTTCAACATTTCTCCTTTTTCTCTGTAGCGCATGTTTTCAGTCCGAGTAGTAGGATTAGCTGTACGGCAATATGCTTGACAGTCGGCAGTCGGCATCCGAACACAAAGTAAACAGAGTGCCGTGTAATTGAAAAGAACTTGTTTACTAAAAACAAACAAGAAAATAATTTTAAAAAATAATATAGGCGGTGGACTCTCAGTAATTTCAGACAATTGTGTCTGCTCGAGAATGCAGGGGATTCAGTCATCATCAGGAGGGAACAAGATTCAAGAACCTCACAAGAAGAAGTAAAAGAAACTACTTTCCGTTGGCCTTGTTTTTACCTGCACCGTGTCGTCTCCATGTCTACGGCATAAGTCGTTTCACCAACGCCACTGTTCTGTAGGGTGATATTTAAGAATTTATTACCTCGTACACTAGGAACCTCTGTTCCCAGTTTTGCCTCATCACTACGAAAGTAATTCGCTTCTTTCTAAGAACGAAAAACATCAATACATGTTTTCAATGCTAATAGTGAGTTTAACAGTTGACGGTCATGATTTTCCAATTTTGATTTTTCTGAAATTGGTTTACATCTCCCACGAGTCGTAACATCCAATGCGAAAAGTAACCCCAGTAAAGTTTGAACTTTTTAAACTATGACAGGATGGTGGTCTCAGTGCACTCTTTAAAATATCTTGGAAACCTTATTTCCTGAGACATTTAAAGCTAATTAACAACTTTTTCAGTGTTCTCTGATGTCTGCGTTCAAGGCATTTTCGGAGAAACCCTGATAATAAATGTTAAAATGCTTTTGTTAGGTAGGGACAGTACAGACGGAAGTGGCTGGTGTGCTTGACTGCGCGGGAAACTGCAAGGACGTGCGAGGCGGAAAGCTCGGCTGTGGCGTCTGCCTCAACCTAATCACGTTGCGGGAGCGGGTGTGGCCCACATGGACGCCATTAAAACAATATCGCTCTGATTGTCCACGGTCTGATGCGCCCTCATCTCCACGCGGCTGCCGGCGTCGCCTCCCTGGCGGCGCTCTTTGTTCTCTCGAGCCCAGCCGGTGCCTCAGCCCCGCCACGCCACGCGTCGCCATGCTACGCCATGACAAAACACGACAACCCGCCGCGCCACGCCGCGCCACGACCACACGCCACGCCACGCCACGCCACGGCAACAAGCCACGCGACAACACGCCACGACAAGCCACGCCACGCCAAGACACGACTCGTCGACATTCCACGGCAACACGCCACCCCACGCCACGGCAACAAAACATGCCACGCCACGCCATGACATGTCAGAACAACGTGACACGCCGTGTCACAACAAGACACCACGCTCTGCATTTTGGACTGTTCTAATTATTCAACTGCTTCGTGATTCTAAGGAAGGAAATTAAAATACCAAGTATGCACAACCGACTTGGATAAACGGCAAATGATGAAGACACATTTCAATAAACATCATTAGAAGAGCTCACATAAATTGTCTATATTCATAAAGGGAGCGAAGGAGAATCCTGTTGTTCATTCAGGGTTTTGAATACTTTATGAGACTCAATAGAATTTCTTTTCAGTCTCAAGGGTCATTTTGCTATTTCGTAAAATATTTGTGGACTTTTATAGGATTGGAACTTGCTTTAAGGAAAATTCAAGCAAGCATTCAACTTCTCAAATAGCTCTCTTCCTCACGAATATCCTTATTGGTATTTCTTCGTGAAACCCTAATTTTTTTGTACCTTACATTTTTGAATTTACGGCGTGATTCTCCCAAGCATACGACGTGTGCTTGTCGAAGTGAACGGTTGTCGAAGTGACGTTGGGTGGTCTGGGCGAGGGCGAGGGCGATCGGGGATCCGTGTTCGGTCCAGGCCCTTGGGTCTCGTGCCAGCGTTGCCCCCACCGCGCCGCCCTCTCTCCACCTCTGTCTTCGCGCCATGCTCCCATTTCTTCCTCCTCCGCCTTCTCGTGTGCCTGCGACTTCCTCTTCCATTTTCTTTTCCACAGTCACCGCGACTCGGTGGTTCCACTAATGTTGGCGCAGATTCTTCGAATCTGACGCGCATTACGGAGAAGATAATTTGCATATTATAAAGTGGCAGTCTCGCTTGCCTCACCTGTCTTACCTCATCCAGACGCCGCGCGGCGCGGTGCGGCGCGGCGCGGCGAGGGAGCGTGTTCGTGCGGCGTCGCTCCTGCTCCTCGCGGTGGGTTCCGCGCGCCCACCGCCGCCGCCGCCGCGGACTCATCAAGGTGAAAAACCGCGGTGTGCGCCCCCTCCCCTCCCCCGCGAGCGTTAGAGATGCGCTCTCGCTCTGTATATAGCGTCTTACGTGATGGCGCGGGCTGCGTCCGGCGCAGGCGGACATGAGAGACTTTTCAGCCCACGCTCCAAGTCCAATCATCTGTCTCACATTTACATTATTTCTTCCGTGATAATTGGTTTGTTTGCAACTGGAAATCATGCTCTTTCTTCGATCCTTCTGTTTTGGAAAGCTCTGTTTTTCTTTTCTTTCGTTCTCTCTTTTTTCCATTTCCTGATGTTTTAAGACAAGTCACATTTTTCTTTTGTGCGTTTCGCAGTAGCGATTCTAGGCGCGATCAGGACAATAAATAGGGGTCTAAACATGTACTGTATGAACTAATCGCAGAAGAGCTGGAATTATCGATTCCATGCTTTTGTTTTTTTCATTTTTCCTTAAAACTGTTCAAACTTATGGCAAGTGCAGTCGTATCTACTTTCGGCATTTAAATACCATACTTTATATCTAATTTTATTTCATGTTATAAATACATAGAAATTAACTCTCATACCATATATACTATTTAGTTTCTCGCTTACTAGCTACGTACTAAAGAGAAAGAATTGTGAAGATGCGGGGAAGAAACAAACAAACGAATTCTTCACAGAAAAACGTTTATTGTGGGACCTGACATCGAAATATTGATATTCCTCAATAAAATCTAGAAAACAATCACTGACAATAAAGTTTCAATGTCCAAAAGTAAATCAAGGAGACATTCGTACAAAGTATCAGGTAAATTGAACGAAAAGCGTGGTCAAGATGGGAGTCATTGACCTAGAAGCTGAGCTTCAATACTTGAAAAAAGCTTATTTAGTCTTCGAGAAGTATAGAGTCCATATATTAATTTATTCGTTTTACTTTTCTCCTTTTGATTGAAATCAATTTTACTTTTCTTCCTTTGATGATCGGATAGTACATAGAAACAGTTATGCAGCAGAGAAGATATTACTTGGCACTTAAACTTGTGAATCGATTTTAAACCTTTAATGCCATCGGGCACTGAGTGGTGAAACAATGTATATGTGTTATATGCACATATTATGTAGTGATGTGTTGATACTGACACCTGAAGACTATGATTACTTGAATGAATAGTTATAGACATTTGTATTCGCTGAAAGTGTTCTTATCCTTGAGTAAGTCATTTTTGACATAAAACACTAATCCGCAAATCCAGAGGTAAAGCAATGATAAAATTAATAGCTTAATAAAGAGAGGTTTACAAAAATCACGTGGGTGATATTTGAATGTATTTCCCATTTTAGGATCGGATTAACCCGATCATTGCCAGCAATTGGCGTTTCCAGGCCTGGGTGATGTTTTTTATTTATAATTCCACGCCTGGGGGCAAGGGATACATGAGGAAATTCTGACATCTTCCCATCACCGTTCCTACCTTATTTGGCTTGCCTGAGCTTTCTTTCGTTCCACAACTACATAAACCGAGACCTGTATTTGAAAGCTACGGTTTAATGTTTTCCCCGGATGAGAATCGACCTTGGTACCGCCTCACAGGGAGCTGGCACGCTGGCCATGAGACACCCAAGAGTTGGTTTTGCTTATTAATCGTACATTTATATACACAAATATGTACTATGGGAGCTATAAGATGTATTTCCCTAGAATGTTAGACCATATCGCCGTCGGGAATGAACATTCGCAAAATATACGCAACGAGCAGTACGAAGTTTGTATGAAATTGAAAGAATTTTGAACTTAATTGTGTATTTAATTCAATTGTACTATATACGGTCCATTTCATGTTAGGGGGAATACAGTTACCTTAAAGTCAGTCAATTGCACAACGTTCATTTTCATTGGATTATAGAGTTTTAGTTTTAGAAAAGGAAAACTTCTTTGTAACCGTTTTCCCATTTTTACTATTAATTTGTTTTTACAGAAAGAATTTGAAATATCTGATATTGCACTATTTATTGTTTCACGTTTGCAAAGAATATTCGTAACTTTTGTAATATATTTTCAACAATTGTAAAATTTATAAATATACCAAATTTTATAGGAAGAATAACCTCCATCGTACGTAGCCTTCAGTTTCGTTACATAATGTTTGAGAGATTTTTATAAGAGTTTGTAAATGTTACTTCGAAAGAAAAATTCAAATACTGATAGTATTAGAAACATTTGTGGTTTAGATATAATTTGTCAGAGTTCATTGAAAGATACTTTAAATGAGAGTGGAGAAATAACATAGTTTGTACCTTAGGCCATTCCAGGACCAGGTAACGAAAAATATCAATGAATGATTGTGGAGTCCAAGAAGACTCCGGGTTATAATACGCCGGTTAAAGTGATTTCTGAAGATTCGATCCTTACATTGTCTCTAAGAATTGTGTCGTTTCTCTTTACATCGTGTCAATTGACAGAAGCCTTGTTCTACCCATCGTTCTGAAATTATAAGGCAATTTGCATTGGGGTAGTGAAAGCGTTTGTTTGATTGTTAGAAGTGGCCTAAATCAATCTTGTAGTTTTGAGAAAAACACACAAACTGCGATTTCCTCAGAATTATGGATCCACTACACGAGAGATTTTCAGAAAGTAGTTTTACTGGCTATGGATTGTAGATCACATGTTCCGTGGTCATTGTAATGTTTTTCGCAGAGAAAAAAACAACAATAATTTGACGACTTTGGTACCGTTTGAGTCAATTTGTTATATATTATCTCTCTGCCGCTCTAAGTCACTGCGTGTTTTTATAATAATAATAATAATAATAATAATAATATTAATAATAAAAATATTAATAATAATAATAATAATATTAATAATAATAAAAATATTATTAATAATAATAATAATATTAATAATAAAAATATTAATAATAATAATAATAATATTAATAATAATTTTTTACAGACTTATATGTTTTGTTTTGTTTTGTTGATATATTAAAACATTGTATAGCACTTCATTCGTTTTTCGAATGAATAATAGTAATGACAGAACGATGACAGGAGAATAGTTTATCTTCTCGAATGTATACCTGCCCTCAGACAAAACACACCATGGTATATTTTAATGACGCATTCATTTGTATTTATTTGAAAAGTACTTCTTTCTCGGAATTTCGATTCTTCGAAAATGAGTAAACGTCTATATAGAATTTTTAGATCACATTATGAAATTATCTACTCGACCTTAAAAATATCGAAAACGGAGTTACTGTAATCGCATGAAGTGTTTGAATTTTTTGATTGTAAATGTTTCGTATATGTATTCGACAGATGTTCGAGACTCCATGAACGAGTTATAACTCTCAGTCGAAGGGCTAAAAATATTAAATAAAGAAACAGAATTTACTTTACAATATTGTTTATTATCGAAATAACACCTAGTTTAGAAACATTATTGCTCTGAAGAAATAGTTATATACTACATCATTATTTATGCATATTTCTACAAAATTGCCCCTATAAACCATAGTTATTTTTGTGTGTGTTCCTTCGCAGATATGCAGCCTGCAGCCACACTATAGTACATATCATGCATTATTAATATTGAAAACTTAACTTGATTTCACTTAATGAAAATCACATTAGGATGCTAGTAACTTCGCTATCTGGACACCATTATTCGACGTACGATGTTCGATGTCAATTGACTTTTCACAGAACTGCTAAGGAGTATTTCTATATTTGATTGCAAAACGAAGAAAATGGACCATACTGTTGTGCAAATCGGCTAACGCCCCCTGAAAGAAAGGAATTTGTTGTCGATGTTCTAATGTAATGAAGGGTATTAAATACCGATCAGGATGAACCTCATCATTTTGATTATCATATTAGATACTTTATATCGTACAATGACCTACAGGTATGTTGATGAAATGGTTTTGCTGCGGAAGGTTTCGACATAATATAACAAAATGAGAATATATAATCGGCAATATAACCTGTGCAGAATAAAACAATAATTATAAAATTACAAATTATATTGAAAAAAGGTTAATACGACTCAGAACAATCCAAAAGTAAAATTATAATGTGTAATAATTACGAGGAATTATGATTACTTGATATTCAAAACATTAATTTTTCGATTGGGCACAAGGAAAATAAATTTATTATTTCAGGTAAGTTAGTTTAACTAAAAAAATGTAGATGATACATAACATGTATGAGATAACAGGTAAGATGTAGATAACAAAATATAATTGAAGATGAATAAAACGTAATTTTATTGTTTTCAGCAGCTATGAACTGTCATAATGGAAAATGAAAACAACTAAATGCATGTTGCTCCTAAGGGCCTATACAAGTGAGGTTACATGGTTACAAATTTTCTGAACATAACGTAAATTTAACGAAACTATACCGAAACTACTTTTGGAGTTTTCTATTAAAAATACTTCCTACAGGACTATCCCGTGAAATATGTTGAATGTTTTATAAGTTTATTTATCATGTTTTTTGACGACGGGTGGTTTGTCTGCGGAAGAGCCGGTTGTTAAGTGGGCCAGGGAAAAGGGATACGGTTTCCTGCCTGGATGTCCCGCGGTCCCCGCTTTACGCGCAATAGGGCGCCCCTCTTGGTATTTCGTTTGGAAACAGCGCTGCGCGGTGGTCTGGGTTAGCCGCCTTAATTTAGCTGTCGCCCTCCCCTCCCCTCGCCGCTCCACGACTGCCAGCGCCCGCCCGCCCCGCTGTGCCAGTAGCCCCGGGAAGGAAGGTGACGGGCGCCCGCGCTTCGCAGAAGCGATTAGGAGATCGGGATTCCCTCCCCGGGAAATACGAACGCGCGCACTTGGCGGCGCACTCGGCCCTGGCGCTTGGCAGCGCGGCCCGGCCGCCTCCGCCCTCCGCACTCGCTTCTTGACGAACCAGCTTGCGCCCTCCCAGCCACAAAGAGTTGCGCGCCGTTTGGGAAAAGCCAATAGCGTTCGGCTTCCCGTGGCACGAGGTTACTCTTTTTCAAAGTGAATATTTTCGAAGGACAAGTACTTACATGTACTTATTGTTTCATGCAATCATTCCAAACATAATGAGCGTTTGCGACAGACTTGGGTCCATTTTTCGGTTTTATGAATTTTACACGACATGCAGAAACGCAACGTGTAGTGTCCTCTCACGAATTTTACAAGTAGACTGGTAACACAGACCGTTATTGCATGAATATGTTTTGTTTATTGCCATTAACTGAATGTACACATTAGACTGCATTTACAGTTATTCCAGAAACAATAATTTGCAAATATTCTAACACTCACTGTTATTCGGCCCGAAGGTTCAGTTGATAAATTTTCAGAAATAAATCAAAAACATTCTTTTAAACGCATTATTTTGCAAACTATGTATTTATCAGAAACTCTTAATTTTTGACGTACAAAATCAAAATTTTTTTTTTGCTTTTTATAGGCGTATTAAAACCATTTGTTTATTATTTTAAAACTATATTAAGAAAACAAGCGGCTACAGTTGTGTAAGGGTTAGTGCATCGGAATGTTAGAGGCGCGTTCACGGGTCCTAAACCGGTTGCAGACGTGGATATTGAAGGAAATTCTCTAGCACGCTTGCTGTGGAGGGAAAGTAAAACTGATTGTTTCACATCACAGATGTAGGGCATGTAAAAGAACTTCAACCCTAAACGTAGTAAAATTGTCATAATTCATCTTACTAGTAACAACTCCGTTGGCTCCTACATGGCTTTGTGGTAGACCCGCCGTCAGTCATAATGAAGCTAGTACTGTCAACCTAGAGAAAAATGATGGCTGAAACGGAGATCATTAGATTTTCATCGGTAAACGCCATTGGCTGTAAGAAACTCGTAGATATAATAACAAACATGAACATGTGTGCATCAAGGGAGGACGAAAGGAAGTGACGGAGGCAGCGCCTGACGCCCGGAAAAGGTTCGACCAGATAGCTGTCCCCCGTTGAAGAATAATCTCTTTTTTAGCGGTCTTCAAAAAACGGAGAGTTGTCGGCCGCAACATAGGAATTTGAGTTGTTCTAAACTTATGAACAAAATTACTTGAAAACGCTTGGGCGGAAAAGTCGGCTCTCTCCCCCAGCGTGCTAGCATTTGTTCGCTCACACGCTAAAGCCACTCGCATTCTGGGCAACAAGGAGCAAGGGTGAGTGTCGCTTTTTGGGTGCCCTTGGAGGAGAGAGAGCGTCGACAGCAGGCAAGTTTGTGGCAGTCGCTTGAGCAAGTGCGGCAGCGTATGAATTCATTTCCGAGCAGGTATGTTGTTGGTGGAAGTCGTTCCTGAATTCCGAGGGTAGAGTAAAGATGTTATTAGAACTGGAGTGCGGTGACTCTGTGACGCACGTGCGCTATGTCGTTTGGTGAGTGGCGGCGCCGCGGCCGATGAGCCTGGCCGTTAGCTGCCCTCCCTCCCCCGCCCCCGTTCCGGCCCGCTCACCGCGTCGCTCACCGCCCCGCTCACGCCGCGCCCACGGCCCGCTCCTGTGATTTATAATCCCTTTAGGCCGAGCACTCGTTCTCGGAAAGCTTCTGTTTGTCGCTGAGTAGAAAATGAAAATGAATTCATGGAAGCGCGGCGCGCGAACACGAGACGCCCGACGCCCATGAGCTGGCTGCGTATTGTTTAAAGAGCCCTCTCGATGCTCTGCTCAGCGCCGGGAACCCGCGAGAGCGCCACAGGCAGGGGTGGACCCTCCTCATGATTTCGGCTACTCAATGCTTAAACAAGTTGCCAGTTGACCCCCCATCCTGGAAAAACCACCGAGAGACTGTGTGGAAATTCTTCTATAAATATTTACGTATTATCTCCTATGGTATTTCATCAACTCTCGTTCACAAGTCGTTCAATTTCCTTAATCAAATATAAATAAGCAATGAATTTCATATGATATATGTCAATAAAAGAGTGTTCTCATTGTATTGCAAAGAAACGGGATGAGGACAAGAATAGGCTTATACTTTTGAGTAGTAGACAACTAGATAGCAAAACTACCTCTGAGTTTTCACAATACCGGGTGTTTTGTATGCCCTCGATTATTTAAAGATAATAAGAATCTTTTAATATAGACAACAATCGATTGGTCTTTGATCTTTGTGTTTTGGTTCAAAATGATTGATGACAGCGCCTCACGAGGTGCTTCAACAGAGAAAGAAGGAATATGAAGGATTTAGGCCGTCTAAACGAACTGTAGGCCTTGTAAAAGAATATTCGATTGAAATGACAGCACGTTCGAAAACTTGTGATTATAAGAAGTGCTCTTTCCCTGTTGCAGGTCCAGCAGACGTTCAATGTGGGGTTCGCAGGCTGGCATGCTAATTGGAAGAGCACGCACTTCGACTGGCTTCCGTCCTCGGCCCAGATCCCTAAGAGTCTGGGCGAGCCCACGCCGCAGGAGCACCTGGAGAAGCTGCAGGTGAGGCTCCGCTGCTCATTCCTCAGCGCTGAATCACAGGGGGCGCCTGCCGCCGGCGCCTCCTAATCGCTCCGCCCGCTTCAGACATCAGTCACCTCTTTATGCTTGCCTTGCTTCACATTAAGCGCAACGGTAGCGAGACCTGCACTCTCATCAAGAATGTTTCCTACATATTTTTGGATTAGTTCCGTGCTTTAGGCATGTGCGTTTCAACCCATCCATCGACTCTTCACTTCCCTGAGATCTCTTTAGTATTATAAAGCATACTTAATACTTCTTTTACTTTTGTTGTTATTATTATTATTATTAGTAGTAGTAATAGTAGTAGTAGTAGTAGTAGTAGTAGTAGTCGTATTGGTGGTAGTAGAATTCCGCTAATTCACGCTTAAATGTATTATGAGTCGATTGAATCTACTCTAGCTTGCAACCTGCTTCCTAAGTAGCAGATCTCAGATATCAGTAGACTGTCAGTGCCGCAACAATACTTGTGGACTATTCTCAATAAAGCAATGTCTTACACTACCCAGCCTTTTGAATAACCCCAGAGTTTGGCCAAATTCTTACAAGAATTTTGCGGAAAAAATCCGAGAGCTCGGCTGACTACCGGTACGACCTATGATTTTACGCCTCACATTCGGCTGATCTCGATTTCCAAACTCTTATATTAAAGAAGTTTCTTTTCCTCCTCAATTACGTTTTGATCGCACGGCACAACATCTACAAATAGACACGTTTTTCTCTCCATATCTCGGATAACAATATCCGGTTTGTTTGCCGCTATCGTGTGATCAGTTTGGATTTGTTGGTCGTACAATATTGTACACAGTCGAACAGACATAACTGGTGAGAGCTCGTATCACTTGGGACATGTGTTTGGAATTTTGAGGGCGATACAGATCTGGAAGTAGAAGTAACAACAAACTCACCGTGTCTTTTCAAGTATTCGGTCTTTGCTAGAAATTGACAAGCTGAAATTGTATGCTCAATGATTTCTACTTATTCCTGGCACATGCGGCATTTATCATCTAGGGGAAATTTTGTGAAATGCTTTATTATTATGCCGTGTTCTCAACGCCTGATTATTGTCAGCTATTAGAACTGTTTCCGATTCTGGCTTCATTCTTCCTCTTTTAGGCCACATAAATGATCTTTATTGGTCTGCACCTTGTCCATTCTTTTTAGATATTGTCCTTGGAGTGGTTTGTTTCTCTATGATTTCTTTAAAATAACTTATATCTCCCATTTGATTTTAAGTAGCACCAGAAGTTCGGTGACTGCGTTATTCTGCGTTTCTTGCATAGTTGTCTTCTCAGTGCTTCTTGTTACACTTACAATGCCTTTGTTTCCCATTCTTCTGCCAGATTTAATGACCGGCCTCATTACGGGGTCATCTTGAAGACTGACGATATGCTTTTCCATTATTATTATTATTATTATTATTATTATTATTATTATTATTATTATTATTATTATTATT